AAGTCATCAGGGAAGCACACAATCTTTTTTTTAGACCAACGACACTTCAGACTTCTCGATACAAATCCACGCCTTGACTACTGTAACGCCCTCCTCACTGGCCTACCTCAACGCAGGCTATCCCTACTCCAGTCCATCATGAATGCTGCTGCCAGACTCATTCACCTTACTAACCACTCTATATCTGCCACCCCTCTCTGCCGATTCCTCCACTGGCTTCCAATTGCCCAACGGATAAAATTCAAAACACTAACACTGACATATAAAGCTGTTCATAACACTGCCTCTAATTACATCACCAATCTTGTCTCTAAATACCACCCAAACCGTATTCTCTGCTCCTCGCAAGACCTCCTACTCTCTAGCTCCCTTGTCTCCACCTCCCATGCTTGTCTCCAGGATTTCTCAAGGGCTTCACCCATCCTCTGGAACTCCCTACCCCAAACTATCAGGCTATCGCCCACTCTGCTCACCTTTAGGTGCACTCTGAAAACCCATCTCTTCAGGGAAGCCTACCCCGACCCCAGCTAATACTGGAATCCACTACTCCTCCTACCACTCCATCCCCACAGCTAATACCTCTTGTACCACTACCCCCTCCCTCCTAGATTGTAAGCTCCAAGGAGCAGGGCCTTCTAATCCCTCTTGTATTGAACTGTATTGTTACTGTACTGTCTTCCTCCATAATGTAAAGCACTGAGCAAACTGTTGGCGCTATATAAGTCCTGTATAATAATAATAATATGGACTACATACAAAGCATTCATGAGAGGGATTCTTATTAAATTAAATACTCAAATAAATACCCGCAGGAGGCACCAGATAGAGGAGGTACTAGCCTCTATAAAAATCAAAGAGGATCTAAACAAATCCAACTCTTCCTCATTACTGGCTGATAGAGAGAAACTTTGCTCTCTCTTACTATACCAATATGACCTTAACTTAAAAAAAAATGAAGGCCAGGTTTTACTCTAAGTAACAAGGCAGGATCCCTGTTAACCAGATCAAGGCAACAACGCCTTAAGACCAAAATCCAGGTGATCCGATCACCAAAATCCAACTCTCCTGTCTCGAATCCACTAGATATTGCTAATGCTTTTGTGGATTTTTACCAATCCCTCTATAACCTCAAAGATGATAAGGTGACCCCACAACCATCCCCCAAAGCTATACAAGCCTTCTTACATAAACTCCCAGTCTTTTCTCCTACTCAATTACAGAATGTCAGATCCATTTCAAACAACAGAAATTGAATCAGTAATCCGCACCTTACCCCCTTAACAAATCCTCCGTTAGTGATGGCTACACAAATCAATACTATAAAGAATTTGCCAGTATCCTCGCTACACATTTGGCTAATCCCTTCAATTCTGCTGCCTCCTCGGGTCATATGCCGAAAGAAATGTTACAATCCACCATCACAACTATTCCAAAATCAGGTAAGGACCCATAACTAGTACAAAACTACAGACCTATATCCCTCATTAATACTGACGTGAAATTATATGCAAAAATTAGCATGCAGACTGCTCCCTCTCATCCCACCCCTAATACACCCACATCAGGTGTGTTTCATGACAGGTCGTCAGGCCCCTGATGCTACCAGGTGCTTAATTTCCTTAATCCATGATTTACAGGATCACAGAACGCCTTCTCTGCTTCTATCTCTAGATGCAGAGAAGGCATTTGATTGCATCCATTGGGGATTTATGCAAAAACTTGATATTGTAGGATAGATACAAATGGCCATTATGTGGCTATACTCCTCTCCCTTTGCAAGAATTCTCACAGACGGTATACTCTCGAGACCGATTGACATCACAAATGGTACCCGACAGGGCTGTCCATTATCCCCAATAATATTTGCTTTACTTGTTGAACCCCTGGCCACGAATATCGGAGAAGAACCATTCTGCTCAGGTATCAATTATCATGGTAGTGAACATAAAATCAGTCTTTTTGCTGATGACATTATTCTAATGATTACCAACCCTACCCATTCGTTACATAGGATTAGAGAAATATTAACCTCATACACTGAAATTTCTTACTATAAACTCAACAAAAATAAATCTTTAATCCTAAAAAGTAAAGAGTAAAAGCGAGCGTTAAACCTAAAGCAGCTGAACACTAAAAAGGTAAACCATATGCCTTCAGTAAAATCAAATTAAAAGGTAGTGCAGCGCTAAGAACAGTCTAAAATGAAACAAATCCAAAATGCTTAAAGGGGTCACTAAGGCATACCCCTTTTGACAAAGTACATTTAGTACGAAACGCGTCAAGGAGGAGCCCTGCAAGCGGTTGACGTCAAGCCGTCAGATCACGGAGGTCTGGCGGCCACCTAATAACACCAGCTGGTTAGTTTTATTTGGGTGCAATTGTCATTATATTGCTCCTATCCGACACTGCAGTATTTGTACATTTTTTTGGATTTATTCCTTATTACCATTAAAGTACCATTGAAAAATACTACACTATGGGATTACCCCTATTCTTTCGCTCGGCACTGAGCACCTTAATCCCCTAGAAACCCCCAGTAAACGTCCCAGCGCCTGGAAGAGGCTGAACTATCTTTACTGGCTACTCCAATCTGGCTCTAGAGGAAGGCCATCAACCCCCAGGCTATATCCCGGACTACCCTTAGAAGGGAACCGTGACTGATCGACAATACTTGATACAACACGCTTTTAATTAGTGCATCTGGTTAGTGCGCACTTTATACATTTATCGGCACATGCTCCTGAGGATTATATGCACACTGAGACCTAACTGAGTCATCTGGAGATCTGTATTTTAACTTTTAAGGACATCCTTTAGATTGTAAGCTCCACGAGCAGGGCCCTCCTATTCCTTCTGTACTGAAATGTATTGTAATTGTACTGTCTCCATTATATTGTAAAGCGCTGTGCAAACTGTTGGCGCTAAATAAATCCTGTATAATAATAATTTCAAAATTATTTTGCATTTATATTTATACGTTTATTATGCATATTACTATTTGACTCTATACATTATTTATGCATTAGTAAGTCCAAGACGCACCTATAACTATTGTGCAAGTTTTTTTAAGATTGTAACACACCCATCATTGATGTGCGTTTATACTATTCGTTTACATGTTGCACTTTTATTTTGGATTTGTTTCATTTTAGACTGTTCTTAGCGCTGCACTACCTTTTTATTTTAAATCTTTACTCCTAAACTTGTATACACCAAAGATTTATCAAACTCTTCTTTCCAAACAATTCCCTTTCATATGAGCTGAACACTCTATTCCCTATCTAGGAATCAATATCTCCACCTCAACATCACAGTTGTATGACCTGAATCACAAAGTATTCTTATACTCTCTCCCTCAAGAACTCCACTCTTTTCGAATATTTGGATTATCTAAATTGGGGAATATAGCCGCTTTAAAAATGTTAATTTTATCCAAACTCCTTTATATCTTCAGGACTCTTCCCATAACCATTCCCATGCAATTCTTTCATACAGCACAAAGACACTTCTCTCAATTGATTTGGGAATCAATACAACCCAGATTCACCAATAATTTACTAATCCGCCTATCACAGAGGAGGAGCCAGCCTCGCATTTACACACTTACTATCTAGCTGCACTTCTTGATCAGATCTACTACTGGAGGCACCCAACCATGAAAAAAACTTGGACTAACATGGAACTCCAACTGTTCCACCCTACCACTCCGCAGAGTCTTCTTCTTTTGCATTCTACCACTGCCAGATGCCCCCCACACAATCACCCCTGTATCGAGGCCTCCTTAGAAGCCTGGTCAATCCTTCTATCACACTCATTCCCAACTTCCAAATCGATATCCACTCCCCTTAATGTCCTCCACAACAACATCAAAGGGAAACTATAATGGTTTGAGGTTCATCTTATTTTGCTTCACACACGTTTTAATTTTTTTTTTAAAATGCTACATAATAATTATAGCACAAGCAATGAGTAGTAATTGGTAACATAGTAAGGATACAGAGAAAGTGAAGGTTGATGATTATTACTGCAATGGTATGATTGTGTTTGTGGCTGGTGCCATAGGAAAGATTTTTTTTACCCTGGAAAGATCTACTTCTATAGTAATTTGCAGTGACAAAATTTCATTGTTGACATTTCTAAAGTAATTAGGATATATCTGAATACAAGGAAGGATAGAAGAAAAAATGAAGAGAAGAAGTAAGAAAACAAGGAGAGAGCTGGTACCAGGAGGTCTTTAAAGTTTCTAGGGGTGGCAAAGGTTCAGACAAAGTTCAGACCAATTATATTTTGTTTTTTATATTACGGTAAGTTTATAGTTTTTAAACTGAGGTTTTGTCATTTTCTATTATTTTAAACCAACAAGCATTTATTCTATTGCAGCCACGATATGTAATGATTTCTATTTTTGGGTTTAATACAGCTTTAATGCAAAATATTTGTTTTGCAAAACCACATTACTGGTGTAGCATTATGGAGTTTCTAAAGAGACTGCACAGCAGAAGCTGTTTGCTTTCAAACTGTCTCTCTCTAATAAAAAGCCTGTATTGAACTGTGCAGAGAAAACAGGTGGTAGAATGAGTTAATCCTTCTCTTATTATTATGAATGGTTTTCTAAAGATTTTTACATTTTACTTTAATTACAAATTGTATAGATCAGCTAAATTGTGACTGAAGTGAAGACTCGTGTACTTGCTTGTTGGATGAAGCTTGGGATCAATCATGATACAGCTAATAGTCTTGCTATTAATAATTTTGGCTCAGGAATGCTGTTGATGTATATCATCATTTAAAAATAAACACCTCAGTCTCTGGATGTACTGTTTGATCCCATTCCTTTCATTTGGGAATTGAACTTTACAGCCATGCAAGACTCTGGTGTCAGCAGCACACTACAGGTGGATTAATAAACTTTGGCTATACATACAGTCTAAAGGATATTATTATTCATGGGTAACTAAAGACCCCAACAAATCACACAGAATTATTAATAATAAACTGACCCCCAGCTGATGGCCACAGCATCTGAAGAGAGAAGTTCCTGTGGAGTCATTGCTGCAAAATAGCTGACATTAGCCAGGAGATAGATGCATGTTACTAGTGGAATTGCGATCATCACAGCTCGTGGCAGATTCACCTGCAACACAGGACACAGCAGAGTCATGCAGTCAACTGATATAGGCATGGTAACTGGTAATTACCATGGGGCTGTCATGATATCCTGTACCAAAACAAAATTTGTATAATTTGTTTTACACAATAAGCTTTCTTTTGGTGGTATTTGATCACCACTGGGTTTTTTTATATCAATGAAAAAAGACTGAAAAGTTTGAAGAAAATTAATATTTTTTATTTTCTGCTGTAAAACATATCCAATAAAAATTTTTAAAAAAATCTAATTTCTTCATAAATTTTGACCAAAATGTATTCTGCTACATGTCTTTGCTAAAAAAAAAATCCCAATAAGTGTAAATTAATTGGTTTGTGTGAAAGTAGTTATAGCATCTACAAATGTCGCTACATACACTGGATTTTTTTTTAATACAAGTAATCGCAGTGATCAGCGACTTATTAACAGGACTGTGGCGGGCATTCTGACACTGGGGCACTGGGGAGGGAACTGACTAACTGCCACTCCCCAGTGACACTAATACAGTGATAAAATAAGTGTATATTGATTGGTTTTCGTGAACATTATAGCACATAAAAACTATGGTATATACTGGAATTTTTAGTAATTTTTTTTATACTACTGATGGTGGTGATCAGCAACTTATAAAAGGTACTGCGATAGTGTGGCAGGCAATCTGAAACTACTTGATGCTGAGGGGAACTGACTAACTGCCGCTGACATCACCGATATATCACTGATAATATTATACACGGTCACTGAATTAATGATACTGGCTGGGAAGGGGTAAACATCTAGGGTGATCAAGGGGTTAAATATGTGCCTAACTATGTGTAACGTGTGTAAAGTATGCTTATTTACAAATAGATCTCTAAGTTTCTTATCCTTGCTTTGCAGGGATTAGAAACACAGGGATCGTTCCTTCTGTTCAGAGCTCTGTGTTGATTGTTATCAGCAGAGACTTGCTGACAGGCTCCAGTTGTGTGCAATCACAGCAGTTGCCGGCTGGGGTTGTGCACATGTGCTCGCCCAAAACCCAGAAGTAGGTAGTGACGTATGGGTACGACACTGTCTACAGTGTCTGCCCATCCGCAGTACATTTTGGGTGGGTGTTAAGTGGTTAAAGAAACTCTGGTATAAAAAAAATTATATTCAAGAGTGTATTCTTAACTCAAAAATAAGTCCCTTTTATTGCTCTCAGTCTCCTCCAAATTAATTTTTTTTTGCTGTTGTTTATACAGTACTGTATTTTATTTAATCTAGAATAGATTTTGTGTTAGTTTTTTTAAGCCAAGACACTATTAAGCAGCCCATAGATTATGCAACACACAACCAGTGTTGATGAGGGAATCTCACCTGCACCTCTATTGTTTTCTGCCAGCCGAGAGCCTTCCCCACCAGCAGAACACAATTACCGCTGCCGGTGGCTATAGCCACCGGCAGTGATCACATGAAAAACATTTTGCCTATGGCCGGCTTTATTATGGGAGATGTTTCTGGCAATAATTAGAGGTTTCTGGGTCATCTAATTATAATATATATAAAGTGTATCTAAACCCTAGAACCAAAAATGTGATATACAGGTATTTCTGCTTACCAGTTCCTAGATTTAATGGCTGCATTACTTTTCCTTTTCAGGCTCTTTTTTCTTCCTTTGCATATGGTGATTCTGTCAGTAAAACACCTTCTTTATGAAGCTGGCCATACATGGGTAATTTTTTCCTCATTAAACCAGCAGATCGAATTGAAAAACTGACCTGATTCTCCCACTCACACATGTGGGAATTCACCCTGCTATGTCATTGTATTCTGACAGTGGGGTGACTCCCCGCTGTCAGAATACACAGATCAGCACTGCAGTCTATTGCCTGCAGCGCTGATCGAATAAGAGAAAATACCGACAGGGTGGTTGAACAGCCAGTCAATCAATAGATCGACTGCTGTTCAACCACCGTGGCCATACATGGATAGAAACTCGGCTGGTCCCTGCTGAACCAGGCAAATTTTGGTCCATTTAGAGCCAGCCTTAGGGTGTCAACATATGGTATTTACAGATCTTAGGCTGCTCTCCTGATTTAAACTCCAAACGCTTCCAACTCTGTCGTCATAACATAGGTGGAGATTTATGTAGTTCACAGAAGAGAACTGGACACAATATATTTGGCAGGATCATCAGATATTTTCTATATATGTAAAAAATGGACTTGGCATTTAAAAACAAGAAAACTAAAGCAGTGTGCACATCGAGTGGCTGGTAAGCTGCAAAACATTGCATTTTTGTTCTTGGAGTTAGATGTGTCCTCTGTGAGTATCTTATATAAAAAATTATCATGCAGGTACTTTTAACCAAAGATCAGTGAAAACAACTATCCAGAGTCTTCATACTTTATGACCCCCATTAACATCAACACAATGTTTAATGCTTTGCAATTCTATAATGTATCTCTTTTTGTATATGGCCATGGATAGCATCAGAATACGCAATGGACAAAGTTTGTATAGTATCTCCAAACAATGGTCCATCCAGTCGCAGTGTTGTAGTGCACAGTATTCACAGAAATAATGGCAAACATAATGCTTCTCTTTTATTCCATGTCCTGCATCCTTGCCCACAATGTAAAATGTATTTAGACATTATTTCTCCCAAAGGTTTCTGTTTTGCTGTCCAACTAATGAAAAACAAATAGTTATTGCATACAGTTTTACAGTTTGCTACAATTAGCATTTTGCGATTTGCCTTAATAAGGAGATATTCAGTCAAAAATACATCTTTGCTTTTTCAGCAGAGTGTGGCAAAGTTGTCCCAGCAAGGTGATCAGGACAGGGAGAGATGATTGTGGAAAACCACCCATATTCAGCATGCAGAAGGACTAGCCTAGGTGATCAATCTATGGAGTATCTATTGCAGGTAATACAGAACCAGTGGAAAAGATGAACTCCTACACTCATTCATACTCAACAATTAAGTCTCAAGCTGGACATACACATGTAGAATTTTGTGTTTTTTTTTTGTTTTTTTTTCAGAATGTTCACTCGTTTCATACTGACAAGAAAATTCAAAGGGACAGGGTAGAAATTTTTACTTGAATGAACACATTTTTAAACAGTATATGTGGTTTTCATTTTGGAACATACATTTATACCAAAACCAAATGTTAAAAGCAAATTAAATTTTAAAGTACTTTTGAATGACATTTGCCAATTCTCTTTTGGAATTATTGAATGTACTAACAAGATTTTTTGTACAAACTTTCCTTTAAAAATCTATGTACTGTATGGCCAGATTTAGTCTCACTGATTTGTGCATGTAGCCTTGTCCCTCATTCACAGGTAACCCAAACAGTCCCTTGAAATATGAAATGGCTGGTATGTAAGTACATATCATAAATAGTTTACAATGCACTCACTAACCTCAGGATTCTTCACTTCTTCGGTTACATAGTTCAGATTGTTCCATCCATCGTAAGACCAGAGTCCTTGATAAAAAGCCACTCCAACTGGTCCGAAACCTGCAGCTGTATTTTCAAAGGCATTCTGGAAGACCTGAGTGTGTCCTTGGGCCAAAAGGACCATACCGCCTACAATTATGACCAGCAATACCAACAGTTTGGCAAATGTGAAGACGTTAATGATAGCGGCAGAAAGCCTGACATTGAGGCAGTTAATTATGCACAAGATGAGGATACAGGCAGCTGCTGTGCACTTCAACACTACCTGAGGTGGTGGGCAGTCCTGGTAGAAGGCTGCCACCACATACTCTGCAAAACTTAAGGAGATGGCAGAAATGCCAGCTGGTCTGGCCACAATGACCGACGTGTATGCCAGGAGGAATGCCGGTAGTTTGCCAACATTGCGTAAAATATAAATGTAATCCCCTCCAGATTCCTTAATGACAGTACCAAGTTCAGCATAGGAAAGGGCACCTAACATTGATAGAATGCCACACAAGCTGTCCATATTAACAGGCTGGCTCCAGGGCTGCCCATGTAATAGAGGACCCATTGAGGAGACATGAAGATACCAGATCCAATCATGGTGCCAGCTATCATTGACACAGCACTAACAAGGCCAAGCTCCCGTTTGAGATGTAATTTTTCAATCCTGTCTTCTATGTTACCATCATTGGAGGGACAAGAGCCTCTTCTTATACTTTTATCCATAATGGAGTGTCTTCTGATCTCAGATCCTTCTGAAAAAGATCTATGCTGTTTCTCAGCTAAAGGGTGCAAGGTAAAACCAAAGTTAATTATTACTGAGTGTACAACGTGCAAAGAATATGGCAGGTCTTCAATTATTGCAGTTAATGATCTATTTAAAAAAATAAAGCATATTATCAAGAATGATGAGAGCATGAGAATATGATCAGGTATAACTTTCTGCTTCCATTGCAAGCTACCATAAAGGTATGCAGAAAGCTGTTGTAAAATCAAGGATAGTACAAGGCAAACTTGGCTTACGGCAAGGTTTTGTAGTTGGCTAAGAAAAGGGAGTTAAAGAACGGCCACTCTGACAAAAGCGGGTCAGACCAGAGTCATTTCACAAACTTGTGATAAATGGTTGGTCATGTTAACATTGTGCTGCCACAGATTCGCAACAATGACACACTCAGCCTCACCCTGCACAAACATGTTCCAGCTTGCAGGACCAGTGATTGTCACTGGGTTTAGTTAAGTAGAAACATATTTAAAAAGGCTGATGCTGTGAATTTATGGTGGGTGATGCAGTTGGTCAGCAATGGTCACCTGTATTGTCCCTACACATTTCCCCTTCTTTGATCGATGCTGAGCTCTCTTCCACATACAACCATCTACATTAGCCTGGAATAAGTACAAGATGGGAGACTCCCCAAGATGTGTTTATTAACTAATTAAACATGGAAAGACACTAGGGGTATTGTCGCCAATCTCCCATACATATTCTTATGTGTAGAATAATGAAATATAAGACAACAAAAAAAACAAAGTATCAACTCTTTCCTTCAATTCTTCTCCTCCACGTTGTAATGTACTAGTACTGCACTAGTAATGTAATGTCCATTGTGTAATGAACCACACTTCACTCAGAACCACAGAGTTGTGTCTTGGCCAGAGAGTTTCCTTCTCTAAACATTAGATCAGAGAATTGTTGCCAACATGAAAAAGAAGGAATAAATAGGTTAACATTAAAAATGCTGTCAAAATACAAAGCCACGTTAAAATATTTTGTACAGATTACTGTGTGTATCTTTTTTCTATAAATATAGACATATAACTTTTTTTTTTGCCTCTATGGAATCGAAGAGTCTTTTAGTTGAATCCCATGGTCAAAAATTAAACTGCCCAGAGAGAGAATAGATTCTTTCTCCAGTTTTGACAATTTTAACCAAAAAGATGACAAGCCTGCCCACCAGGCACAAGGTAGACTCTTTTAGGGCAGGACCTAAACTAAACTACACTACGCTAACCTACTGGATGCTAGTCATCGTATTTTATGTGTTAGATGCCTGTTTGTGCTAAGCCTCATCCTAGAACCTGCCTTCTTCCTTTCCAGACTTGTTTACCAAGATCTACATAAGAACAACCCTTTTCATTCACAAAACAGAGAACAGATTAAAAATGGCTGTTGTTCTTATTATATGGCGGGTGATGCAGTGGTCAGCAATGGTCACCTGTAATGTCCCTACACATTTCCCCTTCTTTGATCAATGCTGAGCTCTCTTCCACAAACATCCATCCACATTAGCCTGGAATAAGGCAGGTGAAGCGTACAAGATGGGAGGCTCCCCAATATGTGTCTATTACCCGATTATTATTATTATACAGTATTTATATAGCGCCAGGTTTGCTCAGCACTGTACATTATAGTGGGGGACAGAACATGAGACAATACAGTAACAAAACAATACAATACACGAGGGGTTCAATTAGACCTGGAAAGACACTAGGAGTATTGTCCCCAATCTCCACACACATATTCTTATCTCTAGCATACTGAAATAGAATAAAACAAAGTGTCCACTCTTTCCTTCAATTCTTTTCCTCATGTTGTAATGTACACACTATTGTGTAATGAACCACACTTCACTCTCTGACCAAGTACCGAAAGCAGTTTCATTGTAGTGAAGTTTGTTCACAGAGAACTGCCTTTGTCGCCCTCCTCATCCTACCAGTCCTCAGTTTTACGGACATAGAAAAATGCTCACAATAGTGTATTACAATAAATAATTGTATGCTAAATTAAAAGGAGAGAAAAAATTGTTTTTTTATAATTAAAATTCCAAAACATCTGAATGGAGCCCATGGCAGCAACGGGGGGAATGACAACCCTCAGGGTACTGTGGTTACCCCCTGAAGGGACACCCCACCCACATTCCACCTATCAGGCCATGCACAACACCCCAGTTATCCCACCAGACCACACCCAACTGGGAGGAGGTGCAATCAATACTGAACTTCGTGAATCCTACAGAAGGCCGAGGCTTCCTGAGAGCTATGCGCCACCAACATTTTTGTCCTGGTACAGTTTCAGAACTCCCCCGAGAGGGAACATCACTCCAGGTGCAGAGAGTTTACTCTCCGCCTACAAAAAAAACCTATACCAATACACTATTACGGAGCATTATTTCTATGTTGGCATAGAGGAGAAGAATTAGCAAGGCAGTCCTATGAAAGCAGACCAAACAGCATGAGGTCTTAAAGAGAAAGGCACCACCCTACCTGCAGAGCTGATCAACAGCTGTGGGTCAGCAGAGAAATCTCCAGAGTCGTGTCATGGCCAGAGAGTTTCCCCCTGTAAACATTAGATCAGAGAAATGTTGCCGGCATGCAATAGAAGAAATAAACGTGTAACATTAAAAATGCTGACAACATACAAAGCTACTTTAAAATATTTTGTAGAGATTACTGTGTGTATCTTTTTTTTTAATAAATATAGACATATAACTATTTTTTTTTTGTGGTCTGCCTATATGAAACTAGGAGTCTTTTAGTTGAATCCAATGGTCAAAAATGAAACTGCCCAGAGACCATAGATTCTTTCTCCAGTTTTGACATTTTTAACCAAAAGATGACAAGCCTGCCCATCATGACAAGGTAGACTCTTTTAGGACAGGACCTACACTAAACTACACTACGCTAGCCTACTGGATGCTAGTCATCGTATTTTTTGTGTTAGATGCCTGTTTGTGATAAGTCTCATCCTAGAACCTGCCATCTTCCTTTCCAGACTTCTTTACCAAGATCTGCATAAGAGCAATGCTTTTCTAAAACAAAATGGAGAAGAGATTTCAAAGGCTGGATACTGTTACAAAATGGCAGGTGACGTGGTGGTCAGCAATGATCATCTGTAATTTCCCTACACACGTTCCTCTTCTTTGATCTTTGTTGAGCACCCTTCCATATACATCCATCCACATTCACCTGGAATAATGCAGGTGAAGTGTACAAGATGGGAGAGCCCCCAAGATGTGTCTATCACTCGATTAGATTTGAAGAGACACTAGGGGTATTGCCACCGATCTTCCACACATATTTTTACCTACTGATCCTCTAATGTACAGTCAGGTCCATAAATATTGGGACATCAACACAATTCTAACATTTTTGGCTCTATACACCACCACAATAAATTTGAAATGAAACAAACAAGATGTGTTTTAACTGCAGACTGTCAGCTTTAATTTGAGGGTATTTACATCCAAATCAGGTGAACGGTGTAGAAATTACAACAGTTTGCATATGTGCCTCCCACTTGTTAAGGGACCAAAAGTAATGGGACAGAATAATAATCATAAATCAAACTTTCACTTTTTAATACTTGGTTGCAAATCCTTTGCAGTCAATTACAGCCTGAAGTCTGGAATGCATAGACATCACCAGACGCTGGGTTTCATCCCTGGTGATGCTCTGCCAGGCCTCTACTGCAACTGTCTTCAGTTCCTGCTTGTTCTTGGGGCATTTTCCCTTCAGTTTTGTCTTCAGCAAGTGAAATGCATGCTCAATCGGATTCAGGTCAGGTGATTGACTTGGCCATTGCATAACATTTCACTTCCTTCTCTTAAAAAACTCTTTGGTTGCTTTTGCAGTATGCTTTGGGTCATTGTCCATCTGCACTGTGAAGAGGCGTCCAATGAGTTCTGAAGCATTTGGCTGAATATGAGCAGATAATATTGCCCGAAACACTTCAGAATTCATCCTGCTGCTTTTGTCAGCAGTCACATCATCAATAAATACAAGAGAACCAGTTCCATTGGCAGCCATACATGCCCATGCCATGACACTACCACCACCATTCACTGATGAGGTGGTATGCTTAGGATCATGAGCAGTTCCTTTCCTTCTCCATACTCTTCTCTTCCCATCACTCTGGTACAAGTTGATCTTGGTCTCATCTGTCCATAGGATGTTGTTCCAGAACCGTGAAGGCTTTTTAGATGTCGTTTGGCAAACTCTAATCTGGTCTTCCTGTTTTTGAGGCTCACCAATGGTTTACATCTTGTAGTGAACCCTCTGTATTCACTCTGGTGAAGTCTTCTCTTGATTGTTGACTTTGACACACATACACCTACCTCCTGGAGAGTGTTCTTGATCTGGCCAACTGTTGTGAAGGGTGTTTTCTTCACCAGGGAAAGAATTCTTCGGTCATCCACCACAGTTGTTTTCCGTGGTCTTCCGGGTCTTTTGGTGTTGCTGAGCTCACCCGTGCGTTCCTTCTTTTTAAGAATGTTTCAAAGAGTTGTTTTGGCCACGCCTAATGTTTTTGCTATCTCTCTGATAGGTTTGTTTTGTTTTTTCAGCCTAATGATGGCTTGCTTCACTGATAGTGACAGCTCTTTGGATCTCATCTTGAGAGTTGACAGCAACAGATTCCAAATGCATATAGCACACTTGAAATGAACTCTGGACCTTTTATCTGCTCATTGTACTTGGGATAATGAGGGAATAACACACACCTGGCCATGGAACAGCTGAGAAGCCAATTGTCCCATTACTTTTGGTCCCTTAACAAGTGGGAGGCACATATGC